CAATCACATCATAGGAATTCATCACTGCAGAACACTAAGGCAAACAGCCTAGTAAAGGTGAAAAAAGGGCAGGATTAAACATTTAGAAGCAGTAGAAAAGAAACTGGAGTTGTAAAGAATAGATAAACTTGCAAAACATATCATTAAATTTTTATGCTTTGGCGCATAAAATCCAAGATTCAAGATTTGTTGGCAGGAGTGAGAAATCCATATTTCCTCCCCCAACCCACATTTGCCCTTTTCTAGCCTGCTCCAGGGCTAAAAGCCTCCCCCTCTCCTTGAGGTATTTACAGGACTAAGAATATTCCTTTTCCTCACATAGCACTGGGAATTGAGCTAACCTCTGCCTCATTTGCCAACAAGATGGAGTCATCCAAAAGCCGGAAATAAGGACGGTGAGTGGATTGGGGACCATGCGCTGGCTGAAGGGAGAAGCTGTTTAATGTGGATAAAAGAAAATGTGAGGGCTTCATGATAGGTACCATCAAAGATTGGAAAGGCTGTTATTGGAAGAGGGCTCAGACTTGTTCTGCTGGTCTCCAGAAGGCAGAAAGAACTAGCAGCACCAGATGGAAGAAGCAATTTGAGCTGTCCCAAAACAGAATGTGCTGCCTCAGGAGGAAGTGGGTTCCCCATCACAGGAGGTTTTCAAGTGGTGACAGGATGACTATTTGTGAGTCTGCTATAGAGGGCATTCTTATTCAGGTATGGGTTGGCCTAGAAGGCCACTGAGGTCACATTCACCTCTCAGCTTCTGTAGATAGCTGAATGCTCAAATATGATTAACGAAACTACCTCTCAGACACCTTCCCTGTAGGAAAAAAACAGTAAGTCTTTTGGACAGACTACCTTAGTTGCTTATTCTTGGCCTCAGTTTCTTAATCTGTAAAATGATGGGGTTGTACTAGAGGCCACTTCCAGCTCTAAACCTGTAAACTATGAATACAGGTTTGTGAAAAGCTCAAAGACTGAAATCTTTGAAATGAAAAAATGTAGCATTTAGCGCAGAGGTGCTTCAAATTGTGGTGGTATCTTAGACAAGATTCACTAAATAAAATTTTAGAAAGGCTTATGATTCACTAGAACTGAAAACCTGAAACATTTAGCACTGGCTTTTATTAGTGGAACAGTGGAACAGTGGAACAGTGGTGTGGCCAACCATTCTAAGAGCTGGACAAATTCAGGACCCCACATAGCAATGAAACAAAGATTAACTGCTTACTGTGTGCCAGGTATTATGCTAGGCACTAAGGAAGTAAAGAAAAATGAAACAGTACCTATTGTTAGAAGAACATACATTCTACTAGGGGGTATAATGCACACATGAATGATTATAGCACAAAGTTAGTTAAAGAGGAAGACACCACTTAATAACTGGGCAATCAGAAAAACTTCCCAGAAGATGTGACAGAGCCTTGAAGGAAAACAGAATCTGCAAGGAAAAGATGAGTATAACCCAGGCCTCGCAGATGGTTTGTGTGAATATGCAGAAGCTGACAATAAAGGTCAAGTTTGGTGCAGCAGTGGTCCAAGTTGGCTGGAACACAGAGCTGATGAAGAAGGAGGGGGAGGGAGCAGTCTTCGATGCAATTAAATTTAACAAGTGTTTATTAGAGGCCTAATATGTACGAGGCATTGAGGAAAACAAGGCAAAAAAGAAATGGTCCATCTTCTCACTGAGACTACAGCTTCTACTGGTTAGGTTAAATCAGGTTAAAATCAGGTTAAAAAAAAGTTTGTGGAAGTCAGACCACAACAGACTGGAACTACCACCTCTTGTGTTAAATCTTTGAACAATTTTGGGATATATCATCTAGCCATGAGACTTCTCCCCACACCACAACCCCTGCCAACACTTACCAAAGGTACGTTATAAGGCAGCTGGGTAGTGTGGTATAATAGAAAGACCGCTAGACGACCTTAGACTCTACCTTTAGACACGTAATAGGTGTATGGCCTTGGACAAGTCACTGAACCACTCATCCTTAGTTTTCTCATCTATAAAGTGGGGATAATAATAACACCCACCTTTCAGGGTTTTGGGATACATGAATGAGATGTTATCTGTAAAGCACTTTGCAAACTTTAAGAATTATACAAATGCTAGCTATTATTATTAAGGTCAGAGCTTTAAAACTGTAGACGTTAATATCTGAATAATATAGTATCTCCCCCAAAATCTTCCCCCATCTAATCTAAGAAACTAAAATGAAGCTCCAAGAAACTTTGGAGGGTCGGCTAAAGGATCCAACAAACTGGAAGTAAACCTGGAATAGGTTCTTCCATGAGATTTCCTCTCCTGATCTGCGACCTGATACAACACTCCACACATATTAAGATATTAATAATAAATGCTCATGACCCATCCTACCCCAGGGCTTTAATCTTCTCTTGCCACCAGCACCATCTTGTAACAGTTCTGGCTACAGACCAGTTTTTTATATATGTGAGCTCTGTTTAAGGAAAACTCAGTGTATGAAAGCTGAATTTGCAAAGCTGATAAATTAGGGAGTGATGATTTGTCTTATGAAAGGATTTAGTTTCCTTTAAATGGCAAATTCCTCAGTATACTTAAAATACAACTTAATTTTAGGTATTGGATCTATTCACACTTTCGGGGAATAAACCTAATGCAGAAAATGAGGTGTATTTGTAGATCAATTTTTGGCCTTGTTCAACCCAATTCAATGAACATTTTCAAGCACCTCTGTACAAAGTACTATGGTGGGTAGGAAGTAAGAAACACAGTCCTTTGTTTTCATAGTGCTACATCCATTCATTCATTTCTATAACGCTTTACAATCTATAAAGTGCTTTTATCACAACAACATATTTGTTGGGTAAGGTGAGGAATATCAAGGTGAGGAAGAATAAGAGTTGTCATATGTTTTTTTCTTTTTCTCCTTTAGGGATCAGGGGATCAGGAAAGAAGGGCAGCAGTGATCCTTTCATTGGCCTGTTCATTTGCTCTTTTCCTGCTTGGACCAACTCATCTTTACACGCCATCTCGGTGGGGGAGGAGGGGGAGGGAAGTCTTATATTTCTATTCCTATCCACCGATCAAAAAGATAAATCCAAACCCTTCTACCAGCTAGGTAGGAGACAGGGAGAGGCCAAGAGCCAAAAAAGGAAGCTTCAGTTCTTTTTAAAGGAAGGTTAGTGAATTTGACTTTCTGGCTACTTACTCCCTAGTAATTTTACTGAAATAAAATGTAAGTGACCTTGGTGTGCATAGATATTCTCTGCAGAATTCCTTCCAGACCAGACAAAAAGGACAGGAGAACACATTCTACAGCAGCAGCCTGGGATTAAGCTGTTCAATAAGAGCAGATTCTATTTATTTATTTGGCTTAGGTTATTTCAATATGTGTGCCTCACATGACAACCCCCCAAAATATTCCATCTGACCAAAAAACTCATGAGATACAATAAAGCAAATTCAGAAGTCAGTGTAAGAGAAAGGGAGGGAAGAGGTTGTCCTGGAGAGTGCCCTGGATTGGGTGTAAAGGAGAGTTCCAGTCACCACTCTTCCCCTACTTAGCTCAGATCTTAGGATGTGTGGGTCAGGGATGGGGGATAGTGAATCTCCCTAAGCGATAAGGTCATCTTTCTGAACAAATGAGAGAATACGTGTAACCTGAAAGTGCTACATAAATATTAGCTATTATTATTGTTCTTATCTGTGAACTGAACAAGCACCTACTATGTGTCAGGCACTATGCTAAGTGTTTTATAAATATTAGCTCATTTGATCCTCACAATAGCCCTGGGAGGGAGGTGCTATTACTAGCCCCATTTAACAGTTGAGGAAACTGAGGCAGCCAAAATTTAAGCGACTTGCTCTCTTAGTAAGTGTTCGAGGTTGGATTTGAAACCAAATCTTCTACTACTAGCTGCCTTTATTTGTTAACAAATAAAATGAGAGGGTTGGACTGGATGATCTCTAAGTTCTTCTAGTTCTAATATTCTATGGCTTTATATGATTTACTATGTGCTATAAATTGGAGATCAAAAAATAGGCATTTATTTTCAAAATCTGCCCAAAGACACTGAGGGAAGAATGAACATAATTTTAAGACTTTAAAATCCCCTTCCTCCAAGAGTTGGAGGAATGTTTTACTTAAAGGATTATGCAAGGCTGCCCATGTTAAATAATTACTAACAGCCTCTAAGGAGGGAAAGACCATCTTTTAAAAAAATGTAGCGCTACCTTCTGTTTTCGTATTGCCTGCATTTCCCAATATATCCTTCCCTTCTCTATCCCTTAAAATAAAGAACAAAAAAGAGGAAAGGAAAAATATTCAGCAAAATTAATCTAAATATTGAAAAAGTCTGATATTTGATGCAGCGCATAGTTCCTCACCTCTGCAAAAATCTTTTAAATCCATTCATTATTATAGAGAGTATAGCTTCTGCAGCTAAAGCTACCCTTCATTACATAAAAGGGCAGATGACTGAACCTGAAATACCAGTCCATTTTAGAGCTTTGTGCTCCATTACTCAAACTGCCCCTTGCTTTTTCTTCAAAATTATCATAAGTAATAATAAATGCACACATTTCCATAACACTTTAATATTTGCATAGCATTTCACATAAATTATTTCATTTGATAAACCCTATTATCCTATTTCTCCATCCTAATGAGAACCAAATTGCCTGTTTTAACTTGGACATCTTAACTTCAAGGTTCTATATATGCTTTTGAGCACTATGCATCTTTCCATCTCCTCCAGTTCATTTCTTCTTAAAGCTTTAGGGCAAAATTAATGCTATGTCTGGAAAGACCTAAGTTACTAATTAGAGAATTGGTTCTGGATCTTCTGTTACATAATATCCACATCTATGTTATATAAAATATTTTGTATATGCTACATATCATACAATATAGATAGAAATATCCATATTATATTTCTATATACATACATACATATATACATACACGTATATATAAACATACATATGTACCCAAGTTTTATAATATACCATTCTGGCTACTTACACCACAGTATCGATCTCCATTGAATATCTGTGGTGGCGTTGGATTGCCCTGAGCTGGTTTTTTTTCTGGAGGAATGTTCTTGTACATCCACTGTCTTTGCTCCTCCGACATTGTGATGTCTACCTCCTCAAATTCTATCTTGTTGGCTTCCAGAAAACGAACTACATCTTGCTGTTTTTTCTTTATCTAGAAAGGAAAGAGCATCAAATGAGAGGAAATTTGAACCAGGAAAGCAATTTTTTTTTTTTTGTTTAGGGGGGACCTTTTGGATTTCATTCAAAATGAACTGAATTTAACTTCTTGGGGTAAGTTATGCAGAGAATTAGTAAGTCAGGTAGGTAATATGCAATGTATACCCAAGGGACTCTGAAGTAAGCCCAAGAATAGCTGTTTTTCAACTGGCTCCTACTAAACTCCAAGGTTTTCTGAGACATATTTTAAGATTCCTTGAAAGAAATATACGTTCATTTTTTATCTGCAAATGACATTCAGGTCCAAATCTAGCCCCCACAAACAGGGATATATGGTTATTTGTTATTATGAAAAATCTCAACTTCAGTATTTCTGTCAAAGACACCACCAACCTTGCAGCAGCCAAACAGCTGTGAAACAACCTTGGAATCATCCTCTCCTTTTCACTCTCTCTCCCCCTCCCCTTGCTCCCAATATCCAAACATTGATCCTATCTTCACAATATTTCAGATTTATCCCCTTCTCTCTACTCAGTCATCACTCAGGTTCACATGCTCATCATCTCTCAACTTTACTACTACAATACCTCTAATTGGTCTCCCTGCCTCAGGACTCCCTTCTCCAGTCCATTCTCCACAAAAATGCCAAAGAGAGTCCTAAAGCCTAGATCTGATTGATGATGTCACTCCTGAGCTCAAATAAATTCAAATGGCTCCTTATTATCTCTAAGATAAGATGCAAACTCCTATGTTTTGCTCTTAAAGAGCTTTACAATTTGGCTCCAGCCTACTTCCAGGCACATTACATATTATTCCCCTTTAGGGATACTATATTCCAGCCAAAGTGGTCCACTTATTGTCCCTCCCTTACGGCATTCTATTTCCCACCTTCATGCTTTTGCACAAGCTGTCCTCCCTGCCCCCGTACTTGTAATGCCTTCTATCCTCAACTTTACTTCTTAGTTTCTATAAAAGCTCCTTTAAAGTGCCATTTTGTACATGAGAACTTTCTTAACCTCTCCCTAGCTACTAGTGCCCCTCTCAAACTAACTATATATTTTGTATTTATTTATGTGTGTATGTGTTGTTTTCTTCATCAGAACAGAAGCTATTTTTGTCTTTGTATTCCTGGTGCCCAGCTCAGTGCTTGGCTCTTAGTAGGTGTTTTAATAAATGCTTATTTACTGATTACTTGCAAAATGGTAATATGATCAGGACAAATTCAAAAAATACCATTGTAACACATAACAACTTACAAAATACTTTTACATATACTCAGTTCTTACAACCCTTTAAGGTAGAGAGGGTACTGTTTACTATGAGGAAATAGAACTCAGAAGTTAAGTGGTTTGTCTTTTTTTTTAAAGGACCCACAGCTTTTAGAGAAACAGAGGAACTAGGACTCAAGTCCAGGTCTTCTGACTTCAGTTCAGGGCTCTTTTTACCACACTATGCTTCCAATGCTCTGTGGAGATGACATTTGAGTTACTTGGCTGGGGGGTGGGGGTAGGGGGGAATCCTTTTCATCATCAAGTTTTTTTTTTCCAAACAGCATAGTAACTACTCGTGTTACTTTTACAGATATTTTCTTTCATTAATTCACAGCAGAAAAATGTATTCTACTTCTAAAATAAGAGCAGAGTAAGGATGTAATCTCTAACTCAGTCTCATTAAATTATTAACCCTTTTCATTCTTCTAGTCTTCTATTACCTTTCTTAGTCACTAGGTGTCATCTGTACTCTTTTGCCAAAACCACCTACCTATTAACAGGGTCTTAAAAATGTAAGTTCACTTTTAAAATTTAAAAGTATATATTAAGACATTTTGGACAGAGACAATACTTACTGTCAACATTAAGCAATGTGTAAAGAACAAGATTTAACTTTACATAATAACCCCACCAAGGCTCACTTCCTCCAGTTTGTACCCTTATGTGTAGTTTAGGGTACCCAGAGAATCACTACTACTAATCAGTGTTCTAGAGGTAATCCTGAGAGATTGGGTTTCTAGTACTGTTGTTCACAAATTCCTACCAGTGTTCCCTATTTATTAGCAGCTAGTAGCATCAATTAGCTTTTAGAAAAGAGTATTTATTGAGGAAGGTTTGGCAAGAAGTTACAAAAACATTCCTGAAAACTGAAGCTACAACCTCCCTCTACATATACAAGATCCTTCGGTAGACCTTGATAGAACAATGGTAGTAAAGCATAAATGTAGAGAAGATGTCGGATCAAACTTATCATTTATTAACTTATTGTTAATAGTGGCTGTTTACTGAAAGTCTTTTTCTCCTTTCATAGAATTCTCATGAAGTTCCCCTTGTGTGCGGCTCTTTACTGGGCTCCAGGGGTTGTTGTCTCGGTTGAGTTCACAATTGAATCTTTTTTGTGACATGAGGTTTCTCACTTCCTGAAGTTGTTGCTGTTCTCAGATGGCTGTCATTTACTATCTGTCTGCAAGTTTTCCTTTGTCATTAGCCACTACCACTCCAGTGGCCATTGCTACCAACTCTGGTCACTGGTGAAACCTCTGTGATGGGACCTCAGGATCTCTGAAACTCATACAATGGCCTGGGATTGGGGGAAGAAGACAGGAAGAAACTTTCTCCTCTCTCCAACAGATACCCTCTCAAGGGCTTGACTGGAGCTCCCCCACCTCTGGACTGGACTATTGCTGACTTAGAGACTCCCTGTCTGGCTTGTCTCCTCAACTGGCTTGTTGTTTTGTATACAAGCCCAGAGGTATTTCTACTCAGGCAATCACAAAAATGTTTCCTGTGTAGCATCATTTATGTTTATCCAAAGATCAAATCATTTTGTTGCTCTGAAATTGATTAATGGCTTGTCCATGTCTAGTTTATACTATGGAATGATTAATTCAATCAAGCAGTCTGGGATTTCTGTGGTTCTTCTGCACTGATAGAGGCAATCTGAAAACTCCTGAGAGGTGCCAAGAAAAATAGAACAATGAATTTCTAGCAGTAGCTAAATATAATTGTTCAGAGAACACAACACTTTTTTGAGATGACTTGACTAGTATAAAAATGGCAGTGGCATAGCATAACGAATAGGGTGCTAGAATTGGAATCCAGAAAATAGAGGTTAAAATTCTGCCTCTGATGCTAACTGTTAGACCATGAGCAAACCATTAATTTCTCTTAGGCTCAGGCAACTGCATATAACTATAATTTATGGAACACTGCAATTTGAACTGATGAAGAGATTCTTCTATATGGACAATCAAAACTGTGGCACTGATGCTTGAAACTGAAGTATCAAGTAACATTCTAAAAAACCTCCTATCTTGTGTTCTGGAGTAAGCAATCACATAATTGATCACAATAAATTCAAAAGGAGATGAGCCTTTGACAATCAGTAATAACAGAACACATTTACAAAGAGATCCTAAAATACTCATATTACTAATAATGGTACATGCCATACATAAAGAAAGTTGAATGTTGTGACTGGTTACCAAACCAGTGACTTAAACAATGACAGACAAGAGGGTCTAGTGGAATGTAATTTGTTTCATGTTCAATGGTATTGAAAATAGCATTAGAATAAGTATTATAAACCACTGATGCTACCAGTATTAATCCAGGTCTACATAGCTTTATGCCACTGAAACATTCTTGTAAGAACACCTAAGTCCAATTTTTGTAAACAGAGTAATTATTTTCTCATGACTAAACTATATTTAAGTACTTGGTCTGAGGAATTGGGAAAGGTCTGAGGAATTGGCAAAGAAAGTTCTGAGAAAACACTGAATCCTTTTAAGGTAAATATGAAAGTGCACTGAATTTTCTTTTTTTAATTTATTATTTATTTTTACATTTAAAAAAAATTTTCTCTGGCTTCTCTCTCACCTATTTGGGAAGGCAAGTAATATGGTATCAATTATACATATGAAATCATGTAAAACATATCCACATTAGTCATGTTAAAAAAAAAACACAAGAAAAATAAAGAAAATAAAAAATCATACTTCAACTTGTACTCAGTGTTCATCGACTTTCTGGAGGCAGATAGTATTTTTCATCATGAGGGCTTTAGAATAGTCATGGACAGAGTAGCTAAATCTTTCACAGTTGATCATCATTACAATATTGTTGTTACTGTGTACAATGATCTCCTGGTTCTGCTCACTTCACTTTGCATCAATTTATATAGGTCTTCCAAGGTTTTTGCTGAAACCACCCTGCTTGTTATTTCTTACAGCAAAATAGTATTCTATCACAATAATTACCTCAACTTGTTCAGTCATTCCCCAATTGATGGACATCCTCTCAATTTCCAATTCTTTGCCACCACAAAAAGAACTGCTAGAAATATCTTTGCACATATAGGTTCTTTTCCTTTTTCTTTGATCTTTTTGGGATACAGACCTAGTAGTGGTAATACAGGTTCAAAGGGTATGCACAGTTTTATAGCCCTTTGGGCATAGTTCCAAATTATTCTCCAGAATGACTGGACCAGTTTACAACTCCACCAACACTGTATTAGTGTCCCTACTTTTCCACATCTCCTCCCGCATTTGTCATTTTCCTTTTCTGTCATGTTAGACAATCAGAGTTGTTTTAATTTGCATTTCTCTAATCAATAGTGATTTAGAGCATTTTTTTCATATGACTATAGATAGCTGTGAGTTTTTCTTATGAAAACTTCCTGTTTATGTCCTTTGACCATTTATCAATTGCGGAAAGCTCTTATTTTTTATAAATTTGACTCAATTTCCTAAATAGTTAAGAAATGAGGCCTTTATCATAGAAACCTGCTATAAAACTTTTTCCTAATTTCCAGCTTTCCTTCTAATTTTGGCTACACTGGTTTTGTTTGTGCAAAATCGTTTTAATTTCATATAGTCAAAATTATTCATTATACTTCCTATGGTCATCTCTATCTTATTTGGTCATAAACTCTTCCCTTATTCATAAATTTGAGATAAAATTTTCCATGCTCCTCTAATTTGTTTATGATACCATCCTTTATGTT